AATCAATACAATTCCGACTAGTTATCAATAGATAGTATAATCCCGAGAATCCAAATCTATTAGTACAGTACTTAAATGAACAGTATAATTGAGTGTCTCATCAATTCAATATATAATGAAATGTACAATTCAATTTACTTTAGTATAAGAATTCAATGTATATATATATATATTTAAAAATAAATAACACTGTCCATATATTTAGTAGATCAAAGACAAATAGCTCATTCATCCCAATAGTTTATAATTGTAATAGTTCATAAAAGTTCAAAGTAATGCATTGGCATACAGTTCGCAAATAGTATAGTATAGACAGTGATATCTTCTGTTTGCAAGTATTCTGATACCACATATGCTCGATGAGCATTGTCGTCCATTAGCAAAATCTCTGGGCCAACAGCACCCCTAAACAGTCTAACTTGGTGTTCCAATTCCTCGTTCGCATATCTCCGTTACAGAACCTCCTTGAAAGATATGCTGCAGCTCGGTGCGGCCGTTTGTCATGATTCTTCCCCAAACTACACTGCTCGACATTGAAAATGCAACACCAAGAAGGAGTGGTCGGAAATTTATGCAAATTTTAGAGTAGACGCACGTCACTGAGTTATGCGAATGATGTGAAATGCGCAGCTCTCCGACGCACGTGAAGTAAGATATTTCACGTGAAGTAAGATACGTGATTTTACGTTTATTATGATTAATTGATATTTCACGTGAAGTAAGATATTGTAAGATATATTAAGATATATAAGGAAGCAACGTGCAGAATGGGCAGTATTCGTGTCGTTATTTCTGCCAGACAAATTATCGAAGAAAGTTGTTTTTTGTTCCGGAGGATACGTGTAATAGGAGAGAATGGCCAGGCCGCCGTCAGCGAAGGCACATCCAGCAGATAGAAGATTTTACGAGGGGTATGATGATCGGACTGAGAAGGGTTGGTTCTTACGTCAAATCGCAGCTGATACCCACATGGATGCGAGCACGGTGCATCGGCTATGGCGAACATGGTTGGAACAAGGAAATGTGGGAAGAAGGAGGGGTGCAGGTGCAGCCAGAGTGACATCAGAACGCGTAGATCGACGCATCCGCCGACATGTTGTGGCGGTCCCGCAAGTCACTTGTACCGCGATTCTGCAGCATGTGGAAGATACCTTGGATGTTCCTGTCCGACCAGAACTATTTCTTTTCGATTGGTTGAACGTGGCCTGCACTCACGACATCCGTTAAGAAGACTGCCATTGACCCCACAGCATAGACGCCAACGTTTAGAATGATGCCGGACTGGGAGGATGTGGATGACAACAGAATGGCGAAGCGTCGTGTTCTCAGATGAGTCACGCTTCTGTTTATCCAACGACAGTCGCCGCATACATGTGTGGCGTCGACATGGATACAGATCTAATCCGGCAGTAACTGTGGAACGCCCCACCGCGCGGCAACGTGGCATAATGTTTGAGGCGCTATTACCTACGATTCCAGGTCACCTCTAGTTCGTATTCAGGGCACTATGACGGCCCAACGATACTTGGATAATGTACTGCGGCCGGTGGCAATCCCCTACCTTCAGAGACTGCCTAATGCAATTTCTCAGCAGGATAACGCCGGACCACACAGTGCTCGCATCTGCCAAAATGCTCTGCAAGGTATACAGATGCTTCCCTGGCCTCCGTACTCTCCTGACCTGTCACCAATCGAACATGTGTGGGATGTGATTGGACGCCGTTTGCAGACTCTGCCCCTGCCTCGTTCAGAAGACGAACTGTGGCAAATGGTTGAAAGGGAATGGAGAGCTATCCCTCAGGACATCATCCGCACTCGTATTGACTCTATGCCTAGACGAGTTTCTTCGTGCATCGCTGTACGCGGTGGTCCTACATCCTACTGAGCCGACGCCTTTCTCGCTCTGTATTCTATCATTTTGAAATAAAATCACTTATTGCTGCTTGCTGTCTCTGTCTTTTTTCCAAATTTCATCACTTTCTGACCACTCCTTGGTGTTGCGTTTTCAATGTCGAGCAGTGTATTAAACCGCGGTTGCAGAAACGGAGTATTTCACGGATAAGGGAACGCAAAATACGTGTTTCTTGCTCTCTCATGTCTAGAGTCACTGTTCAAACTGTATCTGGACTATCCATTGGGGGTTGAATCATGAGAATTTCTGGGGAGTCCTGGCTAGGACCTGTACATTAGGCAGTCTCAATCACGGGGTTTCAAATACTCAGCTTGGGACACACAACGGTATGTGACGAATACTACCGAATAGCTTAAACCACGGGGGTATAAAATCAGTCTTTACAGGACTAGTGCCCCCGTTCATTCGGAGGTTGGTTAGGGCTTGGCAGGAACCGTACTAGTACTGTCGTGTCCGTTCCTTCGGCTGTTGTGGAGCTAGATCGGAGATTACCCACCAGGTCCTCGGGAGGGATTCCATTCAGTTCACGTGACGAGGACTGACAGAGTAAACAGAGCACCAAGTCGAGTTATGTTTGCCGATGGAGTGGTGCCCAGAGGCAAAGGTATCCTAGCGTATCTGTTTTTGCATCGTTTTCTTGCTTTGTTCAATGCTTTGTATAAAGCCGAGCTGGGACTGCGGGAGTTGCGCCTGCGTGGACGAGGGCCACTGAACCTTAGACATCAAAAGCTCGAGTGGCAGTTCCCTTTCTGAGGACCCAGGATTGGGGTCTAAGTCTAGTCTATATCTGAACTCGTTAGGACCCAGTCGTCTTGGCTGCATTGAACATGACGACGGCACCAATTTAAAAGGGCTCCTCTAGAAGCTGGAGTGAGTGGGACACAATCCATTGGTTTTCTCGCATACAATCTAATCTCGTTGAGCTTTCGTACAGCAGTAGAACGGCTAATTCGAGTTTCTGTCGCAGACTGAAGGTGTGAAACCAAATCTCTTGCAGTCGTTTCGCGGTTTCTTCGAGCCGACAACGACAAAAGCGGTCTTCTGGTGCAGTTGTTGTTCTTGGTCGTCTTTGACCTGGCTCTCTATCAAAAGATCCAGTGCTTAAAAAACGGCTCCAAACTCTTAATATGACAACTCAAGCAAGAAAAATGGCTAAAATCCAAAGTAAATTCACTAATCAAAATTTTCCCTCTAAAATGAATCTTTTGTAAAATTAAAAACTTACCCATAATACGTAGGAAAAAAAAAATCAAAACTTTCAGCGAAGAATTTCTTTAAAATGGAGAATAATCAACAATGTAGCAAAAATGTTTTAGACAAAACTTTGCTAGAACCTTCTGTCAAACACCAGTTTGAAACGATGAAAATAACATTTAGAATCTGAGACGCTTAGAGCTGCCAGTTTGACCTCTTTGACGAAACTAAAAACCGTAGTTGAGAAAGCCATTTCCCAAAAGGTGAATTTAATGCTACAAAGCAAGGAATTTTGAATTTCAAAGAAAAACTTTTAATTCAAAAAAATACTGACACTTTGAAATGTCAACTAAATAGAGAACAAAGAATTATTCCTAATTGTGAAACATATCGAACACTCCCAAATTAAAACCCGTATTTAAATTTTAAACAAATTGCAATTAAAATGTTGAAAAAACTTCAATTAAAAACAGGGAATAGAATAAAGAAAAGCAGAAAAAAGTGAGAACATTATAATCAATTTATACATTATAATAAATAATAATAGTCCAAATATTTAATGTACTTTAAAATTGTCAGATACTCAAAAGGTAGTCGGGTTTTTTTTTTTTTTTTTTTTTTTTTTTTTTTTTTTTTTTTTTTTTTTTTGTTTTTTTTTTTTTTTTTTTTTTGTTTTTTTTTTTTTTTTTTTTTTTTTTTTTTTTTTTTTTTTTTTTTTTTTTTTTTTTGTAAATGTTTTTTTTTTTTTTTTGTTTTTTTTTTTTTTGTTTTTTTTACATTTTAAAACTAATGTAAAAAGTGTCTAGAAATTTCCAATGGTGAATTTAATGCTATTTAGAAAAAAAGTAATGTTTTTTTTTTTTTTTTTTTTTTTTTTTTTTTTAAATTCCAATTTAGTTTTAGGAAAAATGCAAACGAAGGTAAGAAAAGGAAGTAAAGGACAAATGTTAGAAAAGTAAAAAGCCTTAACTTCATGGGCTTATCATGACGACTTGAAAATATGAAGCCTCTAAATTCTAATTTATTTGGATATATCTTCTTCCTGACGATGTTCTGTCGGAGTTGATTGGATTCGTCTTCTTTCATGTTCTTTTTTACCTTATTTATTTTTGGTTTTTCTTGTGATGGTTTATATTAATTTTTCTTTTAATTCTAATTCTACATTTATAGGATGTTTTGAAATTTATTCATTTGAATGTAATTTTTTTCTGAAAAATTGGTTCTAAATTTCTTTTTTTATGCATTTAACTGATCAATTTTTTGCGGTATAATGCGCGTGAATTCTTGGAATAATTATATATTTTTCTTTATAAAAAATTCTATTGTTTTTATATACATAAAGAAATTTAGAACCAATTTTTCACAAAGACCAAAAATTGAAATTCCAAAAAATAAATATAAAACACCTATAAATGTAGAATTAGAATTCTGAAAATGTTAAGAGAAAAATTAAAATAAACCAGTACATGAAAAAACAAAATGATAATGATAATAATCAGGGCTGTGGAGTCGGTAGGGAAAATGACCGACTCCGACTCCTGGAATTTTAATGACTCCTACTTTGACTCCGACTCCTTCATATACAGTGGTACTTCGACAAATGAGTTTAATTCGTTCCGTAACCTTGCTCGTATGTCAAATTGCTTGTATCTCAAAGCCATTTTCCCCATTGAAATTAATTCAAATGCCATTAATCTGTTCCAGCTCCCAAAACACCACATCAGTTGTCTTTGTTAAATGTTTTTGAATAAGAAAAATGTATTTCCAAGAAGAAACATTTATTTATAAATAACAAATATATATTCTATAATAACATAATTAAAAGAAAAAGTGAAATGCTTACGGAAACGCTTAATTTTCGTCACTGGTCTTCGCTTTTTTCGTCACTCTTTGCTCATTTTTCACCTGCAGATCGTTTAAAAAAACTGTCCAAGGAGGTTTGTTTCTTCCTCCCTTTAAGGACATTGCGGAAATGAGTTAGGCAAGTTTCGTTGAACAACTCTGTTGCACAACCAGTTGCAACTTTTTCGGGGTGATTTTTATCCACGAACTCTACAACTTTCTCCCACATTCCCAAGATCTTTGTATCTCTTGTAGGGATAACCTCCTCCATCTCTGGCTCCTCTTCAAAACTAATTTTTCGTTGAACCATTGTATGCTGCTGCGAATGTAGATCGTGTAACTCTTCGGTTGTCAGCTTCTGAGACTGTTCCTCGACGAGTTCCTTCACATCTCTCTCATCCACCTCCAGACCCATGGATTTTCCCAGAGAAACAATCTCCTCTACCACTGACATTTCGGGTTCAAATCCTTCGAAGGCCCTTTCAGCTACAGCCTCAGGCCACAGCTTCTTCCATGCAGAGGTTAAGGTCCTCGTTGTAACACCCAAGCAAACCTGATCAATAATTCTTAGGCATATCACGATGTTAAAGTGGTCCATCCAGAACTCTCGAAGGGTAAGGTTTGTGTTCTCCGTCACCTCGAAACAGCGCTGAAAAATGTGCTTGATGTGCAACTTCTTAAAATTAGAAATCACCTGCTGATCCATGGGCTGCAGGATAGGAGTGGTGTTGGGTGGTAGGTAGAGAACCTTTATAAATTTGAACTCTTCGAGTAAATCATCTTCGAGATTTGGTGGGTGAGCAGGGGCATTGTCGAGGATGAGAAGGGCTTGCTTGGGTAGGTTGTTTTCCTGTAGATATTTTTTAACAGAAGGGCCAAACACCAGGTGTATCCACTCCACAAAGAATTTCCTGGTGACCCACGCCTTTCGGATTTGCCCTTTCACATAGACTGACAGTTTTTCTTTTAAAAGCCTTATGTGACTTAAAGGCTCTGCGGATTTTCTGAATGGTATACTAGCAGAGGCTTGATTTTGCAGTCGCCACTTCGCATTGGCGCAAAGTGCTAGAGGTTCATCTATCCTTCATGGGTTTGTGACCTGGCATCGTCTTCTCTGCCTGCTGTTATGTAAGTCCTATTCGGCATCCTTTTTCAGAAAAGCCCTGTCTGGTCACAGTTGAAGACTTGCTGGGGGATGTATCCGTTGGCTTCTATCAGTTCGGAAAACGTTTTGATGTAAACCTCAGCTGCCTTCACATTCGAACTTGCTGCCTCACCATGCCTGACGACGGAGTGAATGCCGGTCCTTTTCCTAAAATTGTCAAACCATCCCTGACTGGCTTTAAACGAGTCTTCCGATTCCTCATTTGTGGAAGTGTGTGGCATCTGCTTCAGCAAATCACCGTAAATCGCTCGTGCCTTCTCACATATGATGCTTTGTGTTAAGGTTCCTCCTTAAGCTGCTTCTCTGTCACCCACACCATCAGTAGTTTCTCCATCCTTTCATGAAGAGAGAGGTCCGGAGCTTAGAAATTACTGTAAAGCCCTTAGCTGGCGTTATACCCTTTATCAACTTCTTCTGTTTAAGCATAGTACATATCATTGATGTGCTACTCCCGTACATCCTCGCCAAGTCAATTACTCGCACACCTTGCTCATGTTTTTCTGTGATTTCACGCTTTAATTCAATGAACATCATCATCATCTTCTTCGGACACATGGTTATAAAAATAAATGTGATAATATTTTATAAATGTACAAAAAGCAAAAAACGCGAACCCAACTTATCAGAAATGCTTCGAAATCGAGGGAAACAAGCACACAGTCTGAGATCTAGTCTGAGGTGGGAGAAACTGTTAGACGCTGCACACGACACCAACATGCGCGCGCATGTTGCGGTCGCGTGCAGCGGTGTAGTGTGCGATTCCTCGTATCTGAAATCTTGCTCTCATGTCAAAGCAAAATATCGCTCGCTCGGCGGCTCGTATCTCAAAACACTCGTATATTAGTGCACTCGTAAATTCGAGGTACCAACTGTATATGTAAATCATATACATATGGGTACAGCTTATTTTTTGTATTATAAAAGAAGTAATAGATGCTACAGAAAAAAATTGATGCATATCAAATTTTTTTATATTAATTAGCATTTATTATGAAATGGAAAAACTTTAGTAATTTAGTAGTAATTTTTAAGAAACAGTAAAACTTCAGCAATATCTTCTTTGTTAGAAGACCATAGATCCGATTTGATAAACTTCAGAACTGAGAAGAGTGTTTCCACACTGACTTGAGTAGGAAGAAGAGCTGTTACTGTTACGGTTACTTCCTTTAACTTTTCAGGATAGATTTTTATAAGTTCTAAAAGAGGTGTTTTGCAGGAGCAATCATTAAGACACAATAACACGCCGAACAAATACTAATTCAGAAGTCAAACAACAAAAATCAGCGTTATATTTTCAAAGTTTTCACAGGACTACTTTCGATGGTTTTACCGAACCACCATCCTCAGCTGCAAAACCGCAAATGAACGAGATAGGAAGATGACAGATGGCGCCACTTGCTTATTCTTCTCCAGGCTTTCTTATCTTATCTAATCATTATATTCCTATGTCGTTCATTTGCGGTTTTGCATCTGAGGATTGTGGTTCGGTAAAACCATCGAAAGTAGTCCTGTGAAAACTTTGAAAATATAATGCTGATTTTTGTTGTTTGACTTCTGAATTAGTAAGAGCAATCATATTTATCTATTTCTTCAAATGCCATGCATAAATCTTTTGTATTTTTTTCATTTTTGTATCCTAAAGTATATATATTATCTTTATACATTTTTATATCTAATTCTTTATTTCCATTCGCTTTGCCTTAGCCTTTTCAATATTATCCAAATATTTCTCAAAATCTAATTCATCAGTGGAAGAGGATGATAGAGACTCAATTGCAATATCTGCAGACTATCCTGATTTGAATACTCCAGTTGTTCTGAGAATAATTTCATTCTTAATGAAAGTTCATAGATGGCTTTCTTTGCCTTTTTAATTTGTTTGTCATCCAGCAAAATTCGGCGTTTTGGATCTACATATATTGAACGCAGCGCGATCTTATTGTCTAGCAAACTAGTTTCTCTTTGCTTCATTGATGAAATGATTCCTTTTGCAATAAACTCTCCATTTCAGAAAGAACAAACATCGCATTCTTCCAGCCTTACCTATTGTTAATTCTTCAGATTGTAGCTTTTTGGTGGTTTTATACGGTATAGAAAGAAGAGTTTCCAGTTCTGCAAGATCATTCCACTGTCTTTCTGTTAGTGAAATATTAGTGTTATCTAGATATAACATTCTCGTCCCCCTTCTCTTTATTAGCTAATGGCAACGAGGTTTGTATATTTTGAATTATGTCACCCACAAAACACAATTTTGATTGGTTATTGCTTTCTGATGATAGTTTCATTCATTTAGAAATGTGGTTTTGGCAACAGTTTTTCATTCATTGCTTTGTATAATGGACTGCTGACTGTTTTCTCTTGAAAATATGAGATTTATTGCTTATTTCATTGTAATTTTTTATATTATGTTTTAATTATATATAATTTTAATTATATGAAAAGTTTTGCATGATTTTTTTAGGAAACAAAGTTCTTAACTTCCTTTATACCATTTGAATTCTTAAGATTTTGTAACGAGTTTATTTATTTATTAGGATAATTAATATTTATATTAAGGGATATTGCATATTTTCATTGTAATTTGTTATATGTAATGTTTTTTTTTTTTTTTTTTTTTTTTTTTTTTTTTTTTTTTTTTTTTTTTTTTTTTTTTTTTTTTATAAAGTTGTTCTGCAGAGTAAAATTCTGCGTACTTTTTAAATTTACCGTTTGGTGTTCCATTTGGGCATTTTTACGGTACAATTAAAAGCCAGACGAAGGCTGGCCACTTAGCTGCTAATCCAAAATAGTAAGTGTTTCAGGAAAAAATGTTAGCTCCAGAAGACTAAATGGCTCCAGAAGACGTAAATTTCTTTGAGAGGTATAGATTTTCAAAGCCAGTTTATGTTATAAATTTTAAGATTACAACAGTTTATGTTGTAAATTTTACGATCTTTAACTTTTTCAGTGATTTGAAAGTTGTCGTAAATAATCCAGCAGTAGTTTTATCAGCTTTATCAAGTACTATATTACAAATGGAATTAAGTAGATCTTTAAAAATATTATCAAAATTCTTCTTGAAATTTCTAGTAATTACACAGGGATCGGAATTCTGGCAATTAACAGGGATCGCACTACAATGTAGCCAAAAAGGTTGCTAGCTCTGGCGGAAAAAATTAGTCGCCAAAACTATCGCCATCTTCGACATAGCCATTTATTTCAATGTTAAATGGACTTATTTCTGCAGCCTTATTTTTCCAGTAGTGCTTCGCATCCGGAGGGTCTTCATGTTACATTACACAAGAGAGATAGTATGTGATGCAAAGTGTTCAACTGTCTTTGATGTATTAATAGTCTAAAACGATAGAAATTGCATGAGACTGCTCAGAATGCACTAAAATCTGGACTACATTAAGCTAACGCAAAAGAATCGGATATTAGTGCTGCGAAAAATAAAGCAAAACCCAAACATCAATATTGTGAAACTTGAAGTAGATTTAGAAGAATAGCTTGCAATGAAAGTTAACCCTGAAATTGTTAGAAAAGTCTTCTGGGCACAATGGGTAGTCAGCAAGAAAAAAAAAAATCTTCGTTAACAAGAAAACGGTTCAATCCTGATTGAATGAAGTATGAAAAGGATCATCCCGATTCTATGAAGTTTTCAGTGAAATTTGAAGAGTATCATCCTGATTCTATGCTGTGCCATGAGTTATCCTGATTCAGTAAAGCTTGAAAGGAATTATTCTGATTCTATGTTGCTGATGAATCATCCCGATTTAATGCTGAGTATGAAAAGCACAAAAGTATATTATGGGCATCGATGTCTTACGAACCAGGTGATAGAGTATAGGAGACGAGGCAGACCAAACTAACATATTTCTGTTTCTTCGCCGATACCCGATAAGAATACTGATGAAATCTATAGTCTAAATTACTTAATGTATTTTAGCATTAAAGTTGAAAAGTATATTGCAAAAAATCAGATCCCCCAGTGTCACAATTGCCAGAAATGGCATCACTCATCTGAAAACTGCCACGTTGCACCGCGATGTGTCAAGTGCGCGGGGTTCCATCGAACTGGCAATTGTGACTACCAGGACCGAATAGAAACTCCAAAATGTGCAAACTGCCTTGGGCCTCATGTGGCCTCATATCGTGGTTGCCCGAAATTTCCATCTGTCAGAAAACCACTCAAGAGTTCTACTACCAAACCTGGACTCAGTTACGCCCAAGCGTTAAAGCCTACTCCACCAGTTAATATGGAAGTACTCACTGAGCCTGATACGGCAAATGCTAACTCTGACTCCTCAAATTCTGTACAACCGTCTGCTGCTGCGCAGGATAATAGTCACAAACAAAAAATTATTAATAATCAGGCTAAAAGTAAACATACTGGCAATACCAAAAGTAATGAATATAATGTTGATAATAACAGTATTTCTGATATTTCTGAAATATTTAAAATAATGACAGAAGTACAAAATATTTTTGGTTACGGCCTAGGCCGAGTTATAAAAATTTATAAAAGCAAGCTTCCTGAGTTAAGAAAATGTAACAGTTTACTTGATAAGATGCAAGTCTTGCACCTTATCTTCGAAGAAATTCACGGGATAGCGAATTGATTAGATTATGGACTGTAACTTCCGAGTAATAACATGGAACGCAAATGGCTTAACCCACAAAATTGATGAATTACGTCTGTTTATAAATGAGTATAGCCCTGATGTTTTCCTCCTACAGGAACACAAGCTTGGTCCTGCAGTGTCATTTGAAATTGCCAACTATGTGCTCTATCGTCTTGATCGCAGGAGAATCAACCGTCACCCTGGAAGGGGGTTAATTATCCTAATTAAGCGCTCCATTGCCCACTACCAAACAACACTGCCACAGCTTTTAGGCCTGGAAGCCCTAGCTATCACAGTCACACCACTCACCACACGACCAGTCACTTTTATCTCTGCCTATGTCCCTTCTAACAACAGATCACATGTAAACATTGTGCAAGATTTTGACGCACTTGCTAAACTCAACAGTAAAGTCATCATAGGTGGAGATCTTAATGCAAAACACCGCGCGTGGAACTGCACTCACAACACATTCCTTGGAAACGTGATACACCGCTTCGCTACTAAGGCCGGTATCACTATTGCAGCTCCACAAAACCCCAACACGTTACGACGAAAGGTCTGCCTCGATCCTTGACTTTTTTTGCTCAAGGGTTGTACTTTTAAATCCGTTGACAGTTTGAATGAATTGTCATCGGACCATAACCCAGTTCTAATCGATCTTGACCTTACCGTCTGTAACACACCACACAAAAAGGCCTTTATTACTAATTGGTCTGGATATACCAAAGCCTTAAACAACACCACAATACACATTCCAAAAGCACAAACAGGCGATGAGTTAGATGCTATAGTTAGTGACTTCACCACTCAGCTTCAGAATGCCCTGAAAGACAATAGCAAACCTATATGTAATAGTAATAAAATCAAACCAAACAACGCAATCAAACGACTCATTCAAAGAAGGAATGCTGCAAGGAGAGAGTGGCAGCGATCAAGATACCCTTCCGA